TAACGTTCTGCTTCTTCATTCTGATTAACCTTCTGTAATGTGGTTTTCATTCTAAGCACTGCAGGATTGTAGTTCTTACTTCTTCTATCTGCTTTGCCACTTTTATTCAACATAGTTTTGGAAGTCTTAGCTATAGCCATCAAAGAAGAAAAAGAAGTAAAGGGAATCCAAATTGGAAGAGAAGAAGTTAAACTGTCACTGATGGCAGATGCCATGATACTACATGTAGACAGTCCTAAAGGAGGTACCAGAAAACTACTGGAGCTCATCAACTTGGTAATGTTGCTGGTTACAAAGTTAACATACAGAAACCTGTCGCATCTCTATACACTAACAATGAAAGATCAGAAAGAGAAATTCAAGAAACATCTCTACTTACTACCACATCAAAAAGAATAAAATACCTAGGAATAAACCTACCTAAGGAAATAAAAAGCCTGTACTCCAAAAACTATAAGATGGTGATGAAAGAAATCAAACTCACAGACAGATGGAAAGATATATCAAGTTTGTGGAGTGTAAGAATCAATACTGTCAAAATGACTAAACTACCGAAGACAACCTACAGACTCAATGTAATTTCTATCAAACTACCAATGACATTTTTCAGAGAACTAGGGAAAAAAAAATCTCAAAATTTGTAAAGGGACACAAAAGGCCCCAAATAGCCAAATCAATCTTGAAAAAGAACAATAAAGCTGGAGGAATCAGGCTCCCTGGCTTCAGATTATACTACACTACAAAGCTACAGTCCTCAAAATAGTATGGTACTGGCACAAAAATAGAACTATAGATCAATGTTACAGGATAGAAGATCCTGAAACCCATGCACCTATGACAAATTAATCTAATTAATTAATAAATAATAAATTAATGACAAAAGAGGCAAGATTACACAATGTGTGAAAGACAGTCTCTTCAACAAACGGTGCTGGGCAAACTGGATAGTTACCTGTAAAAAAAATGAAATTAGATCAGTCTTTCTGTGATACCATTCACAAAAATAATCTCAGAATGGATTAATGACGTAAATGTGAGATTAGATACTATAAAACCCCTAGAGGAAAACATAGGCAGAACACTTTCTGACACAAACCACAGCAATGTCTTTTTCAATCTGTTTTCCAGAATAATGAAAATAAAAACAAAAATAAATGCAGAAGCTTCTGCACAGTAAAGGAAACAATAAACAAAATGAAATGACTACCCACAAATTGGAAGGAAATATTTGCAAATGATATGACAAATAAGGGATTAGTCTCCAAATTTTACAAACAGCAAATGATGCCTAATGGCATCAAAACAAACAATCCACTCAAATAAATGGGCAGAAGACCTAAATAGACATTTTTCCAAAGACATACAGGTGGCCAATAGGCACATGAAAAGATGTTCAACATCTCCAATTATTAGAGAAATGGAAGTCCAAACTACAATAAGATATTACCTCACACCAGCCAGAATGCCTATTAGCAAAAATATCCACAAACAAGATTCCTTTAAAAAGTGGAAATAGAACTGCCATACAAACCAACAATCCCACTGTTGTTCATACACACCAAGGAAACCAGAATTGAAAGAAACACGTGTACCCCAAAGTTCATTGCAGCACTGTTTACAATAGCTAGGACATAAAAGCAACCTAGATGTCCATTGGCAGATGAATGGATAAGGAAGTTGTGATGCATATACACAATGGAATATTACTCAGCTATAATTAAAAAAGAATGCATTTGAGTCCTTTCTAATGAGATGGATGACACTGGAGCCTATTATACAGAGTGAAGTGAGTCAGAAAGAGAAACACCAATACAGTATATTAATGCATATACATGGAATTTAGAAAGATGGTAGTGACAATCCTATATGCAAGTCTGCAAAAGAGACACAGATGTAAAGAACAGAGTTTTGGGCTCTGTGGGAGAAGGCAAGGGTGGGATGTTTTGAGAGAATAGCATTGAAACACGTATATTACCATATGTAAAATAGATGACCAGTGCAAGTTTAATGCATGAAGCAGGCACTCAAAGCTGATGCTCTGGGACAACCCAGAGGGATGGAGTGGGGAGGGCAATGGGAGGGGGGTTCAAGCTGGGGGAAACATATGCACCCATGGTTGATTCATGTCTATGTATGGCAAAAACCACCACAATACTGTAAAGTAATTATTCTCCAATTAAAACAAATTAATTAATTTTTTTTAATCCACAAACAATAAATGCTGAAGAGGATGTGAAGAGAAGGGGAATCCTCCTACACTATTGGTAGAAATGTAAATTTATACAACCACTAAGGAAAACAGTAAGGAAGTTCCTTAAAAAACTAAAAATAGAGCTATCATATGACACTGCAATCCAACTCCTTGGAATATATCCAGAGAAAAACATGATCCGAAAGGATGCATGCATCCTAATATTCATTGCAGTGCTGTTTGCAATAGCCAAGACATGGAAGAAACCTAAATGTCCATCAACAGAGGAATGGGTAAAGGTGTGGTACATATATGTTGGAATATTACTCAGCCATGAAGAATAATGAAATAATGCCATTTACAGCAACATGGATGGACCTAGAGAGTGTCAGACTTAATGAAGTAAGTCAGACATAGAAGGAGGAATATTGTGTGACATCCATTATGTGTGGAATATAAAAAGAAATGATACAAATAAACTTAATTACAAAACAACAAAAGACTCACAGACTTAGAGAACAAACTTAAGGTTGCCAAGGGGAAGGACAGGGGGAAAGGATAATTAGGGATTTGGGGGTGGACATGTACACACTGCTATATTTAAATGGACAACCAGTAAGGACTAGTGTTATAGCACATGGAACCCTGTTCAGTGTTATGTAACAGTCTGGATAGGAGGGGAGTTGGGGGAGTATATATATATGTATATATATATATAGCGAGTCCCCTCACTGTTCACCTAAAACTATCACAACATTGCATTTTGTTAACTGGCCACACCCCAATACAAAATAAAAAGTTTTTTTTAATAGAATAAAACATTTCAGCAGCCAAAAGAAAAAAAAAACCTACAAATCAATAAGAAAAAGACAACAGGCAGTGCTAAGAAGCAAAAGACTTGACATTCAAATGGAAAATTATAAAAATGTGCTCAAATTCAACATTAATTAGGGAAAATCTAGTGAAACCATAAAGAAATGCCACTACAAATCAATTAAAATGACTAAATTCAAAAATTAAAACTGACAATATGTGTCAGTGAAGATGTGGAACACAGGGAACTAATTACACTGCCATGGAGTGCAAAATGTGCAAATAATGGAAGAATAGTTAGTACCAACTGCAAAGTAGAAGAAATCTAGAAATCTAGTAGTGTCACTCTTACACATATAACTTAGAGAATAGGGCACATGTATACCAAAAACATATAAAAGCACGTTTGTAGCAGCAAAAGTTGGAAACTGGTACAACTGAAACTTCCATCAACAGTTGGCGCACAAATGAACTATACTGTATCACACAGAAGACCATGCATCGATGAAAATGAGTGAAGTCTTCAGTGAAGCATAGGGCTGCCCTGGTGGCTCAGTCTGTAAAGGATCTTCCTGCAATGCAGGAGACCTAGGTTCAATCCCGGGGTCAGGAAGATCCCCTAGAGAAGGAAATGGCAACCCACTCCAGTATTCTTGCCTGGAGAATTCCATGGATAGAGGAACCTGGTGGGCTACAGTCCTTGGGGTCACAAAGAGTCAGACAAGACTGACTAACACTCACTTTTTCATAGGTCTTCATAGCAATACACAGGAATCTCACAAAAGATGCTGAGCAAAAGATTGCACAATTAATCCATTTAAATAAGGTTAAAAAACAAGCAAAACATATCTGGGAAATAAAATGATAAAGAAAAGCAGGTAAATGATAAAGCCAGGATTGGGGGTTTAAGGAGGAGGAAGGGAGAACTTCTGCAAAGCTCATGCCATTTTATATTCTTTAATCTGTGGGACTGAAACAGAAGTGTTTGCTTTAAAATTTGCATTTATAATACATTGACATATAGTTTCAATATATTAAAACTAAAAACAAAAGTTGAAAGAAAATCAACATATTGTTGAGGAAAAGAATCTAACTTCATTTATTTGGTTGCCCACACATTGTTTATTAAATCATCCATATATGATTACAACTTAAAGTCCATTCTTTCTTGCATTAGAGATTTAGCAGCAATTGTTTTCAACAATGGTTTTGACAAGGGTGAATGGGTGGTAGGGCCGAGGGATAGCAAAAGTGTGATTATGAAAGCAGGAGAGGGAGACAGTCATGCTCATGGGCTTTGTTTTTAAATAGGAAAATTCTAGAGACATAACTGAAAAGAGAAAGGAAGTCTATGAAAGGGTTGCCAAGTCAGAGAGCAAACTGTCACCTGATGAAAGGACTTATGAATGAGCTCAGAGCAAAACTATTTGGAGGAAATCTAAAGAGGACATGCCTGCAGGATGGAGGTTAGTTATACTGGGTGCCTGGCCCAAGGGTACAGTCTCCATCTACACCACGTAGGCGGTAAGATAAAGTTTACTGTATGGTCTCAAAGATTTGATATATTGCTATTTTAAATTATATTGCTTTCTTCTTTTTCCTACTTTAAACATAGCATTTATTAACTGAAGAATATTACAGAAAAATACGTGCTGCCACATTTTGTCCAATCTTGGCGGCTGGGTTCATGCCCTTTTTCAGCGCACAGTGGCCAGCCTGATGGGTTGTGGTTGACTCGGAAGTGGGGCGCGGACCAGCCTTCCCGCCCACCAGCACCGTCACATCTCTGCGGCAGTCTCCCAGGCTAGAGGGCGAGGGCTGCTTTTCGCTTCCAAGACCCCCCGCGGGAGCCCTGCCCCGGCCGCAGCCTCGCCCCGCCCCGGCCCCGCCCCGCCCCGGCCGCAGCCCCGCCCCGGCCCCGCCTGAGCGGGGCCTCGCGGCCACACTCAAGCGAGAGCTGCGGTCGCAAGTTTGATCCGCGCCACCGCGGCCGGAGATGCAGTGGGGTGCCGCGCTGTGCCTGCGCCTGTGGCTCTGCCTCGGACTGCTCGACAACGAGCGTGGTGAGCCCTCCGCCTACCCCAGTGCGCAGCTGCCACGAGCGGGGACGCTTTCCCTGGGCAAATGGTGGGACTGCACGGACGCGAGACCGGTCGGGGGACGAGGCCCGCGGGACCCTTGGACGAGGGGAGACAGGGTTGAGAGCCAGGAATTCAGATCCCGGAAGGAGCACAGAGAGTCGGGCCGGGCTTGACGGGATGAAGAAAGGGAGAGGACGGGCCGTGGGGCAGCCCCGCAGCGTAGAGATGGGTTCTCGGCTTCACTCCACGGTCTCTGGTTCAGCTCCCTTAGACCTGGGCCCCTTCGCGCTGCATCCTCAGCCTGAATCCTTCGCTTGCTTACACGCTTTTCTGAGGAGTCGGGGCATCGCACTGCTCTATCCTGCGATCCGCGCGCACTGAGGTTGTCCCCCAGCGCAGAGGTTGAAATCCCCGCCGGGTCGTAGTCCCGGGTGCGCACTTCCCCGCGACTCTAGTCCGCGCTCGAGATCAGTACTCCTGAGGGAACTCTGGTTGCTGTTCACTTTCCCCAGGCCAAGGACTGCTGGGGCAAAAGCTCGGGATGGAGGAGACAGGAGAAGTCCGGGAGGACTGGGTGCAGGTGTTGGAACTGAGGCTAGTCTTGAGTCAGCAGCTTGGAAGTGATCAGCATGGCAGGAGAAAAAGACCGGCCCTCCCGTATTTGAGAGGTAGCACCCTGGACAGCCAAGCTAAGGATCATAAGGCAGGGTGTGCAAGGGAGGGCAGCGTGGGGACTTGTGACGGGAACATGACTCAAGGCTGCCCACGAGGCGTTGGAGGGAAGATAATTTGGGGGATGACAGAGGGATGGCTGTTTGGAGATGTCAGGGGTAAAGCATCAGGAATGAGAGGCAGATGAGCTGGAAGCCCACGAGAGATCTAGTGACCCTGAAGGTCAGAGGGTGGAGGACCGATCATGGGACCCCAGTGTTTGCGGGAGTAGTTCTGAGAGGTCTGAAGGGAGAAATGGATACCTCTATTTTTAAACGCTGGTGGCTTTGAATACTGGCTTTACATGTTTCAATTCTTTTAATCCTCACAAGGAAATGTTAGAACCTTTTTACAAATGGGAACACTTGGACCAAGGACAGGGGTAACTTCCCACAAAGTCCTCAGGAAGCCAGTAGTAAAGGCCGTGTTCAACCCAGGTCTTTGGGATGCCAGAACCCCCTCCTCTGTGTCTATATGGGCTGAAGGGCTGGGGAGAGTGGAGTGAAGGGAAGTGTGGCTGAAGCCAGGGGGAGGAGGATGGAAGCAGGCATCTTCTGGCCTCCAAGTCAGGGCAGGTCTGAGCAGAGGGGCTGCCTCTTGGCCCTCCTTGGCTCCCCTGCACTCTCCCCAGGACCAGGCTTTCACAGGTGCCGTGGCTGAACTTCAGGGCTGAGGAGTGGGAGGTCCCACCGTGAGAACACATCCAGCAGGCAGTGGGTATAGTGTCCAAGGCTCAGGAGAGAGGCTGAAGAGGAACCTAGCTGTCCCAGGATGGGACCCTCTTCCCCAAGGAGGGGGCCAGAGAGCGAGAGGCTCCCAGGGAGACAGAAAACATCCAACATGCAGGGCGTAAGGAAAACCAGGAGAGGCTCACATCCTGGTGCTCCTGAGTAGAGTGGAAGGTGGCAGACAGAGGGGGGAGAAGTCAGTCTTGCAGTGAGTACAGGTGATTCTTACCAAAGTTGGGCAGTGAGGGAGAAGAGAGAGTGAAGCTAAGGGGCCCGTGGAGGGGGATGGCCTTGGCTGGACCAGGGCATGGCTGGTAAGGAGATGACCCATGGAGAGAAGACCATTGCCACAGTCCCTGAGCCTTGTGTTTGTGGCACCCATTTTTGGACTGAAGAGGACCTGAGAAGCCCCTAGACTGATGTGGGTGCTGGAGCAGAAGCACAGACATTCCAGTGCTGCCAGTTGTCAGCGCAGCCACAGTGGGAGGCCACGTGCTGGCAGGTAAGCCAGCCTGGCCCTGAAGTTGACCCTCAGAGATGTGGTGCTTGTCCCAGAGCTGGCTCCTTCCTAGCTCTACCCCTAAATTACTTGCTGTATTGCCTGGACCCCTCTCTTCCTCTCCTTGTGCCTCAGTTTTCCCATGCATGGCACTGCAACAAGCTGGCAAGCTCTGATGGGCTGTGCTTGGGGCTGGACTTTTTACCCCAGTCATGTCCCTCTAGAGGAGGTAGATGGCACCTCCCACAGGCTTTATCTCTTGGGGCTTAGACTCTAGAGAGGCTGTTTGTGCCTCTGAACAGTGGGCAGTCAGCCCAGGGACAGATGGGGAAGGAGACAATTGCCGGGAAGCTTGGTTGGCCTGCTGTAAGGATCCTGGCTCCTGCCACGGCTGAGACACACATGACCATCCCAGCTCTTCACTGTCCCTGCTCCTTGGCCCTGAGCCAGAGCCAGGTGTGGACAGAGGTGTGGGAGTGGGGTGGGCATGTGAGTCAGTGCAGGCAGAGCGCTGGCCTTAGCTTGGTGCTCTGAGGACTCACACAGGTGTGTCCCACACCCAGCACGCTGGAGGCCCTGGCTCAGTGTGGCCGAAGGACTCTGCCGCCCCACAGCAGTGTCCACGCGACCAGGCGCCAGGCTGGGCATGAGGCGCAACACGGGGACTGTCTGGCCATCTCCTTGCTGTGCCATCCCCACCCTGACCCGCAGGCAGTGGCAGGCAGCCTAACCAGGGAAGGGGACTGCAGTCCTGTGCAAGGTGAAAGCTACAGTATCTGCTCAGGGTAGCGAAGGGAAGATTTGGACCAAGTCCAGCCTGCAGGACCTTCTCAAGTGTCAGACTTGCAGGGACACAAACATAACATCATAGCCAGGGGTGATAGTGCTCAGTGACCCCAGTGAGGTCCAGCTGGTGGTGTGGGTTCCACCGCTTCCAGCTTGGAGCTTCCTGGAGGGGTCTGCAGACTCCAGGGAAGGGGTTCCAAGTAGGACAAAGACTGCCTTAAAGGCCCAGAGACAGAAAAGTCAGATGGTGATCAAATGAGGCTGGAGTCCTGGGGGCAGGGCAATGGGGTGGAAGAGACAGGAAATGGAGACGCAGGAGCTAGCGGCACACCTGGAAAGAGTGGGTGTGAGCAGGGAGCCACATGGTCAGACTCCCCTGACGGCATCGCCAGAGGGGCAAGAGCAGATGCAAGGCCACAACAAGGAGGCTGCGGGTGCACCCAGGAGAGACTCCAGGGAAGGAGGCAGCAGGAGATGGTGGAGAGAGAGAGATGAGTGCCAGCCTCTGGCTGAAGTGGCAGAATAGGTCATGAAATTGTTTACCAGATGGGGACCCTGAGAAGAGGGGGAGATGGGGAAAGACGAGGCATTCCACTGGGGAGGCAGGGCCTCCAGTCAAAGGCAGGAAGGAAGAAAGTTGGGAGTGTGATATGATAGAGGGAAGTCAGGGAATCCAGGAAAATTAAGCAGGGGCTCAGTCGTGAGGGGAAGTTTTTTCCTACATCTAGCTTACACCCCTCCTGCTGCCATATTGGTGTTTCCCCCACTATGCAAACTTCTCTCCACTAGGACCGCGTCTGTGCCCCACAGTCCTGAGACATCCCTTGGCGAAGAGGGGCGGGTAGGGAGACGAGTCCAGAGACTCCCACACTCCTTGCACGGACCCCTGAGCAAGACATGGCCAACGTGTCCAGCTGGAGCCAGGGATTCCTGAGTTTCGATCCTTTTCAGACACTGGCTTCCTCTGGGATCTCCGTTTTCCGGTCACACTGAAGGGAGAAGTCTGGGAGCAGGAAGATGCAGGCTTTGGGACTGGCTGCCACTGAGGCTGGGTGTGGCCCGAAACAGACGCAGCCCTGCCTGGCTCCAGTATCCCGGGCCACCGCCATCTCCGAGGGCCGGATGGGGTGCGGGTGGCCCTGTGAGCACGCACAAGTCAGGGTGGCAAGGGGGGAGCCCCGCCACGTGGCCAGTGAGGTCAGCATGGGTTCATGGGAAAGGACTTGCCGGCCACAGGAGAGGACATCCTGCCTGCGTTCCCTCTTCCTGCAGCAGGAGCCCGCGGCCCAGATTTAGCAGCACTGGGGGGCCACCTCTGAGCCAGCTGGGCTGTCTGATAACACTGCCCGTCCTGCCGCCACAGAGCAGAGCCCTGACCCCAGAAGGGCCGGGGCAACTGCCTGGTAAAGCTGGCTGCACCCATGAAGGCTGCACGGGGAGCCCTGCACCTACCTGGGTGCTCTCCCCCCATCTCACCCCCAGTCCCACTCAGCCTCTCCAACACTCCCTGCTTCCAAAAATTGCTTTAGCAGGACCACTCTGAAACACAGATCTGAGCCTTCCTCAGCCCCCCAGCCCCCCTTGGGATGATGGTACGGGCCCTCCTGCTAGAGGGCCTCCTCCAAGAGGAGCCCGAGCCCCATGTCTACCTAGGCTGCACCCACACCACAGCCTCACTGTGTGAGCTTTCTTCTGCTCCACATACATGCGAGAGGCTGCTAAGAATTGCAGGCAGAAGGTGATGCTGCACCAGCTGGGAGGGATTTACTAGGGCAGGAAGAGAGCTTCATTCCCCACCCTTTATGGGCCCCAGGAGCACAGAATCTAAGCTTTAGGGTAGGTTCACGACACGCGCTACCAGTGAGTCCCACCTCAGTCTGAAATGGTTAATCAAATTTCTCCACACAGAGTATGTGAAGATTTTAACCTTGTGCTGTAGGCTGTTGTCCCTGTTTTGAAGATTAGTAAAATTAATTAGAAAATTAGAGGAGTGAAATGGCTCATTAGATTGTCAGAGCAGCTTTGAGGGAAGTGACAGGTGTTTGGGGTCTGGTGCCAGATGGCGTAAGGGCTGATGAGCAAGAAGGGGCAGGTATAGCTGGCGTATCCATATTCCAGCAAGGTAGGCATGTGGGGTCCTAAATTGCTGACCACCTCGTGGACATTTTCACCTAGATGTCCCAGAGAGCTTTCAAAAACAGCACAGTGCTGGACACATTGCTTTCCCCTGGGCCTGCCCCTGGCAGATGAGCCTA